ATTTTGTATGCTGTCAGTGTGGCTGTTTTCTCTTTCATACAGACGTTTTATTTGTTGACTTCCCGACAAGTGAAAATCCTTTGCGTTGGAATCCTTTCAGGTTTGCGCTCTGTTCCCGCACATTTGCATGATGTTAGGCCTTTGCTGCTTAGACCCTTTGCTGTCTCACAGCTACAATTGTTTAAAGGAATGTGTCGGAATATCCCTCTTTTGCCAAGCCATTATAACAGCCTTTTTTGCACCTTTTCGCGTCAGGTTCATCAGCCATGACACTTGGATTTTAACATTGCCACAGTCTGAGTGGCAGCGCCGAAAACTCTCGAACCCACTTGTTGTAGAATGCAAGCAACGTCCGCTAAAGTAGAGGGCTTGACTCTGATCCTTTTTCATACCGACCAAGCCTCAAAACTCATTGTGTCAACCTCTAAATCCATATGTCAAGACTTGCAGCACATGTTCTCACGGCCCCGTGTGTTAAGATGCACCGTCGTTCGATTGACTCCGCAGTGTTCTCTCAAGCTGTATGAAAAGGTGCCCCACCTGATTCCTTTTCGACGCGGACGACCCAATTTGTGCCGGTTGTCGCGCTGTGCGGCGCATCCGGGAGTTGGTCGCGTAAGGCGAGAGCGGTGAGCGCTGTTAGGGACTGCGTGGGAGCACTGACAGATTTGGCGAAGCAGGACCGGTCTTGGAAAAGGAGAAGCAAGAGGCAAATCCGGAGGAGGCAATTGCAGGTGGGGCTCCTACATCGGTTGGTGACGAGCAGCCACCTGTTGTTGGTGCCGAGCGTGAGGGCGAGAAAGAGGACAAAGATACCGCAAAGCTAGCAGCAGCTCCTGGGGTTGAGCAGAGCCAGGAGGGTTCACGAAGTCTGCAACCGGCTCAGAGAAGGAGAGGGACAAAAGGCGTCAAGCACCGTGAGAGGGGGAAGCTTCGACGTCTTGGCCTTTATCAGGTGCAATGGCGCCCAAGGCCAAACCCAAAGCGCTGCCCGCCGTCCAATGAGGGTGACTGCAATGAGAGTTGGCGCGTTGAGGAGACCAGCAGCCGGGTGCCTGTGGAGGACATGGGGATTGGGGCGACGGTAGCCTTGCAACGTACTACGCAGCCTCGTGCAACGCGGCAGGGACTTTGAAGTCGGTGGATGTCCAGCCGGGTTCGATTCACTCTCAGGGACAAGTTCAGAGGCCCTCTTGAAGGACCAGAGTTGGAAAACAGGGGTCGCACTTCGAGTAGATCGTTGTCCCCGCAACTGCACAGGCGAGAGGATGGCAGACGACCTAGTTCACGGACGTCGAATGATGAAGCCAGGGACTATCGAGCTAGAAGAAGGCTGGGTCCGCAACTTGAAGACTGTGGATCCAGGAGACGACCAGCCCTGTTGTGGAAAGAGTGACCGCAACTCGGATCTAGACTCGTGGGTGAGACACCCATGACGCCCCAGCAGGTGGTTGACAAGTGTCGCCCAGGCTCTTCAGAGTCACTGCAAGGGCGCTTGGTTCGTTTGCGGATGTGCCGTGCGGGAGGAAAGGAACATATAAACTCCCTTGAGCTGGTGATACTCAACGCAGTACGCTGGAGAGTCGAGCGTTGTGGGCACTTGGGCCAGCGAACGCTGCGCTTAACTGACTCTCTTGTTTGTCTCCACGGGCTCACGCGTGTGGCAGGGCCAGCTCCCGACGACTTCGCAGTACAATGGCATGCATCAACGCTCTTGTCCTTTGTTCCGGCTCTCAGCTTGTCTGGGCATATGCGTCGACTGATGCCAACCCTGCCGATCAGCCAAGTCGGTGGGGGGCACGTGTCAAAACTAAGTTTCGGAATGCTTAAGCGCATCTTAGAGGGCGGAACAGAGGGAGAGCGGGCCAAAAATTGCGTCGTCAACTTGGAAGTCTCAAACAGCTCACAGTGCAACCAGCTACTCGTAGGCACTATGACAACGCTGTGGAATCTCCGTAATGAGATACCCAGTTGCGCGCCTCCATTGCCGGAGCACGTAGTCCAAGCCATGGCTGGCTGGGCAATTTTTAACAGTTGGCATGGTTTTGCAGTTTCATTGTTGGTAGGTTTTTATTGCAGGCTCCGGACCGGAGAAGTCCTCAGGGATTCGATCCAACCACATAGAGTGTTCCAACCCCACACTCCAGGCTGTCATCAGCCTTAAAGGCGGGAAACGTCATGGGGCTGCTGAAAGCGTGGTCCTGGGACTCGAGCCTGTCATACGCCTCGTAAAGGAATGGAAGAAGGTGGCAGCCACAACCACAAGTCTAACTCCCTCTCCGCCCAAGTGGTGGCAACTGTTTAATCAAGCCCTAGCAGCCTTGAAGATTGACGTTTTGAATTTTCGCCCCTACTCGAGAGATGTGTGCATCTTTGTTCTTCCGGCCCCGTGTGTTAAGATGCACCGTCGTTCGATGGACTCCGCAGTGTTCCTCTCAAGCTTCCCCACTCAACGTCCCGGAGCTCCTGCTCCTGAATGGGAATGAAATCGATGAAGAAATCCGCAAAGAGAGTAAAATGAGCTACAGCCGAAGAATCTTTCTCACCCTGGGTGTGGCCGGGTGTGTAAAGATTGCCTCCCTTACAAGGTAGGAAGACCTTCAGGTCTGACTGAGTTGGTTTATCTCCATTTGTGTTATTTGATTTTGACAAATTCGCTGCGAAGTGGGTCAAAAGAGAGATGTGTGCATCGTTATATATATATATATTATATTTATTCACACCTCCAAATTCAGAAGCAAGTATTCAGGAGAAATGCGAGGACATGAGCAAAGGCAAACTATCACCAACTTGTCAGCAAGAAAAGGCTTACGTTTTAATGTAACACTTAGATGAAATTATGGATCGAGTTGCGTGGGTGGGCTTAGTGCAAAATATTCATTTTTCATTGGGAGCCCTGTCCCAATACATGATTTGACACCTTTTTGTCTAAATGGTTGCTTTCCTTGAAAGTGAACTTATACATATTTACACATGTGACTCCTGAAACTTTATGCCTTCTCAAAGTCTTGCTTTGTAACAGTTTGTTCCTGGTTGCCCTTACATAGACTACTTGTACTGACAAGCCACAAACCCCTCCCAGACCGGTGCGAAGTGCAGACTTGTGTGGGGTACAAATGTTCTTCTGCACGTCCCAATTTGCAGGACATTTTTGATGACCATTTCTTCCAGGACGGGCACAGTGGGCATTTGCAGTGGTCAAGATGTCTCAGAAACAGTGCTTTCAGGAGTATTGGGAACGCAGACCACTGCACTACTGCTCGGCCGACAAAGGATCCAGCCAGAATCCAATTGAGGAGGGTGTGGTTGTTGGTGTTGGGACTTGCATTGTTCAGGTGCAAATCGTTTGCCAGAAGCACTGTTCGCAGACGATCTGGCAGCTGCAATTGATAGCGCTGCAGGTGCTGGAGTTTCCAAAAAGATACTTAAACTCACGTTCAGCGTCACGTGTCAGGCATGAATCTCAAGATGTTCAGATCTAATGAAATGAGCGACTTGAAGAGTCCCTGTGAAGAACTGAGTCCTTGTAGTTTGCACTGGAGTGTGGACATTCTTAGCAACAGGGATGAAGTGAGATTCTGAGGGCACTCATACTTGGCTGGATTCTCTATGGTGATCAATCAGGCTAGGTTTGACACACATGTGCATAATGTCCATGGTGCGGTCTTGCTGAGTCATTTGCTCCGAAGTTATTCTTGGTCTGAGGCGGATCGCCATCACAAAGTGCTTTTTGATCTGTGCAAAGGTGAGATTGTGAGCCTCTCTTTCAGTTTTGCACATGTTGACCCTCTAAGGTCTTGCGAATCGTCACTTTCATCATGTCTTCGCAGTAGTGTACTTAACGCCACCTGGATCGCAGGCTGAGACTGAGACTTGACTGTTCTGATTAGCATTGTATGCATCCTTTACCTGTCCGATGTTCTTTGAATTGCAGTCCATTTTTGACATTCACCTAGTGGTTGATGTCCGGCAGGCGGTCCGAGTGCACACCGACGACCAAGATGTTATTCTGCTTCAAGTTTGGGGAAGCAAGCACTGGACCTTGTACAATGCTCCCACGCATTTGCCATACACAGAGGAGAATGCAGCATCCGGGCAAGTCACTGAAAGCTACTGAACTTGTACACCTGGAGCTTGCATTCACAGTGATTCACCAATTCAGGAGATGCTTGGCAAAGAACAAGCAGTGCCAGAGAATTTGATTGGAAAGAAGGAGATGGACTTCACAATTCATCCTCACGATGCTTTTGAGCTGCGATTGTTGGAACAAATTGTCAGATTATGTTTTGCCTTAGCTACAGGTCTATGTCTCCTTATTTGGGTTCGGCAGAAGAGCCCTGTAACTTGTTGTTTGATGATGTGGTCCCAATTCTAGTTACAAAGGCGCTTAGAAGCCAGTTGGGTTTTTGGCTTGTGTCAACTAAGACTAAGGTCCTCTACATTCCGCGTGGGCATTTGCATGAGGCAGCAACAAGCTCTGAACCCTCTTTACATATCACCCTTACTGTGCCGGGAGCCCAACAAGCTGCGAAGCCTCAAAGCCCACTTCTTTTCAGCAGCTTTCAGTCCAGGCCGACAAGTGACTTCTGTTGGGGTGTGCAGATGGTGAAGCACCTCAATACGCATTTGAGGAGCTATGCATTCCTATATACTTTGTTTCAAGCCTTTCAATTGTAAATTAAGTTTCTGCAGGAATGAGCCTTTCAGGCCAGATTTGCGTTCCCTCTGCCAGGTGCGCAAGCTTGCAAAAAGATGGAAACCAGCACTCCACAAGTTGAGAATCTCTTTTCCCTCTGAGGCCTCCTTGGCACAATGCTTCACAGGCCCAGCTCAGCACAGCGAGGAGGAATTAGATTCCCAGATTCAGGAGAGGTCGGACACGCAAACAGTTGAATTGAAGGTAGCATTTGTATGCACGAAACACGTAAATTACAGAACAAAGGATTTTACCGGGCTTACTCTCCAGGAAGTATTGTCTACTTGGACATCTAGCCTGAGTGCAAAAGCTGTGCTCAACGCCTTTGAGCATCGGATGGTCGGGCACTGAGCTTCCTTGGAGTTTGTGCCACATATGCAAAACAACTCTCTTGCAGGACAAAGCAAATTTTGGCCAGGACCAATCCTGCAACCAGCGACCATTTTGTGACCAATGTCATGTGAACAGTACCAAATTTTTCTGCCCTAGCACGGGCAAGGTGAAGAGGTTCGATAGTTGGCTTCTTGCAACATTGTTTGCTATTAGGTTGGATGCCATTGCTAGTAGGTTGGAGGCAAAGAAAGTTTCTCGTTCTGCTTCCGCTTGCGTTCTTGTTTCCAGCCTAGAGGAGCAGCAATTTGCCCGGCTTTCCGGCGAAGGCTCTATGGCATTGATCACTCGAAACAGGAGGCGATTGAGTGTCACTCTTAAGCCTTCACTCTTTCTCGGAAGTCTTCCAGGGTGCGGCTGATGCATGGAATCGTCTGCCTTTGCGAAGAAGGCATTCTTTTCTTACAGAGTTTTTCTGGCAAAGCACACTTTCTGGTGAAGAAAAAATAATGCGATGTGGCTCTGCAGAAGCACAGACCCACCCAATCAAGGTGCTAAAGCAACCCAGGCCCATAGCGATCATAGTGTGCAAAGATCCAAATCATATGGCATTTAGCGGAAAGAGAAGAGAATTCCTTGTCCTCGTTATCCCTTCTCTATTCACTGTCTTCCTAAACCTTCCTCGTCCTCATCTCACTCTTCTCTTAGCAGGTTCTCTCTCACCTTGGCTCATGTGTATGGTCAGGCCGGTAAGGGCAAGGAAAGATTGCTTTTCATTTCAACCGAATCCGCTGGCAGGGCTTGCCCTTCCTCCAACAAACTTCAAAGTGGACAACGGTTTGTAGAGTCTAGTTGTCTTTCCAAGGGCCATTGACCCATTTAGTGTTGGAGAGAGAGGGTAGGGTTGACCATACAGAGTGTTCATCAACTCCTCATGGGGCACATCACAAAGTTGCTTGTCTGAATGCACTCCCTACCCTTGCTACGCAGTGTTTGTACCGGGTTTCATTGACTCTTCCATGAGTTTGGTCTGCTGATTGAACGCAAGAGGTGCCATTGGAAGCATTTCCTTCGCCCAGCTTTATCCTTGGGTGATGACTACTCGGCCGTCAAGTTAGGTGCCCTTTTTGGTCTTGTCCGGCCTCTCTGTTCCCTGCACCCTTTCCAATTCAAGGACCCCCGCCCTTTGTTCTATCCTCATCATGCTTCCATAGGCTGCAATCGAGCGACAACAGGAAAGGGAAGTTGTCGTTCATCAAGAAAGGTAGCCTCAGCTACTTGAGTTCTCCTTGCTTTGGCAATTCACTGAGTAGAGGGGCAGCTTTTCCAATTACCTGTATATAGATCAGGATTTAAGCAGTGATTCTTTTCATTGGAGGGCCCCCCCCACTGGTGGCTTTTTTTTGGCCGTACGCGCCGCCAGTCCTCCTGTAGCGCTGTTTTCATGCTAAATCATTGAGATATTCACACATGACCAGCAAAGATTCCTAAACATAGATTCAATGGTGATATGAACAAGGCAAAAACAATGTCTTGATTTGACTCCTCCTCCCAAATAGAGTACAACAAAGACACAATTAAAATCAAGAGCAAAGTTTCTCTAGTATGCAATTGTTAGTTAGTTATTGTAAACACACAGTAATACTTCCTTTACTTGATTTCGTAAGGGACTTATTTCTTAAATGTATTTCCCTTAAGAGAATTCAACAAAGTTGACACATTGTATTCATTATATATAAGGGCAACTGCCACCGGCACATAGGGTATAATATTCTCTCTTACAGGCAATCGGATTCATCATACTCAGCCAACCTCTTAGTCTTAGATATTCTGGATCCGATTGCCGTCCCTGTAGTCGACATTCCACCCTCACGGACCACAGGTCAACGTCACCTCATCATTCTATCTTTTTTGCAGTACCTCCTTCCAAGGCTCCATCCCAACTTTTACCAATCGCTCTCCCTGTGGAACATGTTTCAACTTTGCCTTGTGTATTACAGAAGGCCCCTTTCCTCAAGATGTTCCTCAAGATTGTGGAACATATTCCCCTTCCGCGTCGCTTCAGTGGTTCTGACATCGCTTTGGAAATCAAATACCTCTCACCAAAACTCACATTCCATTCTGTTTCTATCTTTCGTCCACCCGCGTCTGCCCTCAAGTATTGGAAGCCTGATTGGGGCCTACTGTGCGGTCATGTTTTGTTTCTTATTTGACAGTTTTTGTGTGCAGTTTTGCGTTTCACGCTCAGCTCGTGTCCTGGAGAGCATGGAAGGAGGAATAAACTTTTGTTTTGGGCCAGTTGTAGGAGTTCTTTGGTTTGAATTCTTGACACCACACCGCCTTTTCCTTCTATGTTTGTCTCACCTTTTCCTTTGGGGCGCCGAGAGAAAAATAGACTAAAAAGAAGTAATTCCAAATGCATTTTTGTGCTCCTTGTTGCACTTAGTTGATCCGTGAGGTAGTGAAGAAGCAATCTTTGCGCGGCCGGATGGCCGCTGCATGAAGATGAAGGCATTTGCGATGTTTTTTTTTTTTAAATAGAGACCTTGCAAGCGTCGCAGATCACAATTTCAGCCTCCAAGCTGATTCGTTCACTCACAGCTACTTAGTTGCATTTCTGCCAGAGATGTGGGAGTGCCAGAGTGAGTGCTCAGCCGTCTTGTGAAAGCCAAGGCCACACCTCAATGGGTGAGGGACTTGCCGTGCACAGATGGGTTCGAGAGACTATGCATCCTGCACGTACTCTTGGACGCTGGGGTTTGGGACTTACGATTTGGTGCGAGGGGTTTGGTGGTGTTCATAAGGCCGCTACAGGGCATTATTTTCAACTACTTTCAATCTGATTCTGCCGACAAGGTAATCCAAGTCTTTTTGCATGGCCCGGAAGAAAGCTTGGAGACGAACGAGCACTCCAAGCAATGAGACAAGTCCAAGAAGTCCGTAGGAACGATTTGTACATATGCCGCATCATATGCCTTTGTTTTATTTGAACCAAGTGGACAGCGGGAAAAAATCATCCATCAAAGTGTCCTCTCCAAATCTTTGGCAAGTCAAAGCTTGTCCTCTTTGGCAAATCTGAAGCAGCGAAGCATGCTTGAGCAATGGGCAGGCCGCCGGCCGGGGACGAGTTTTCCGACAGGCGCAGCAGACGCAGCAGATTGTGCTTGATGAGAGGAAGGTGCAGAAATAATAAGAATATCCGAATTTTGTATTTTTATCAGATGATTAAGACAATTGGGGAAGAAGAGTACCATATTATCACATGCCCACAAAAATGTACCGTTTATACGGTCTCTCTCTCCGCTGCTTTGTCTCGCAGTGACCCACTTCTTCAAGGCACTAAATGCCATTCAAGAGTTGACCGGTCTGGCCCTGGGACTTCCTTCAAGGAACTTCTTGAGATCATGGTCTTATTGGAGGGTTTAGACGCAGTGTACCAGGCGGTCGGCGCGAAAAGTCAAGAGGTCGTCAAGTAGCTTTGACATTACTTTATGGTGATACACTCAGAAGCAATGCTTCCACGCTTTGAGCGGAGGCAATTCAGGTATGCATTGTGCATTCAACAGTAGTGGGCATACAACAAAGCTTTCTGAGGGCACTCATGGAGCAGCCTCCTTCAACGCCTGGTCCAAAGCTCAGACGTTGGGGCTTCAAATGAAGTAGAAGGCTACTGGCTTGACCAATGGCACAAGAAGTGCATTTTTAAGGAAAGAGAGGGGAACGGGTAGAACCGGGTGGGACCCGGTAGGCCGCGAGGTAAGCTGTACTAAGTAGCTCTTCGTTTAAAAGCGATAGCTTATTCTAGCTATCCGGAACACACTACTAGATACTACCCACACGCAGGAAAGCTCAGACTTCTTCAAAGAAGCCCCCCCGCCCTCACACTATTCATTAGGAACTTCCTTGAAGGAGCCCTCGCACTATGAATTTGGTTTCTATTTTTTTTTAAACCTTTGACATTCTATCCTATGTATCCTGTCTCATTTTCTTTGTTTTTTCTTGATGCCTCTTAAGTCATGTCGTGCTGCAGAGCCAAGCTAAATCTGCACGAGGGTCCCTTCATGTCGAGGTGTCCCACCTTTGCAGGCTTGGCTTTGCATGGCCTTTGCTTGTGGTAGCGACCTTAGTTCGTTGCAAACTGTCCTCCTCAAGAGGGCCATTAATTGCCATCAATTGCAGAGTGGCATGCGTAGGTGTTCAGCTGTGTAGATGAGCTATGTGAAGGCAACCCAGACCAGACTTAGAAGTTTGAGCTAAGGTGTCCATTGGACAAGAGGCTTACGAGGCAATGTTCCTGTCAGAGTTCCGAGAACTTATATGATATGCGAAAACTCGAATAGGTCCGAGTACCGCACTGCACATCAAGTTGGCAGGCATGCCGCCATCTCCGAAAGTCAGTCAACTTGAAAGTTTCTTGCTGGAGTCTGTTCCTTGGAGTTTGAGGTGGTGGGACTCCCCAAAGGATGTTAGTGCAAAGACAGGTGGCTTTGCTGAGGACCGAATACAGAATCGCAGGTCCACAGGCGATGGCTTTGCTTCTAGAATTTGTGCAAGCTTTCAGAAGTAGAAGCGACAGCTTTTCAGGTTTACCATTGTACACATTCTTTTGCACCTTGGTGTGGATGTTTTCTACTTCGACATGGATGCGCCTGGCACCGAGAGTGCCGGTGCCATAAATGCTGTTGGGAGAACCTCGTTTTTCACTTCACCTGAGGTTCTTTCTACAGAACCCCCTACCTGCCGTGCTGTCGCAGGCGTGCGAAATGGGTGAGAGGAAGTCAAGCTGAAGTGCTGTAACAGTAACACAGAAAGTTCCTTGCCAACAGGCCCTTTGCTTGATTTGGCTTTGCCTTTCTTTGCTTGCTTTTGGCGTTGTTTCGCTTTGCTATCTTTTTTTCTTTCTTATCTTGTGTATACTGTCCTGCGCCCACTGCCGTGCTTCTCAAATGGTAAGCATTTTGAATTGTTGCTCTGTCTTTTTGTCAATTCTGGATTTACTTCTATAGTATAGTTTCATGCATTCCTTGGTGCATCGAGTACAAGAGGACGAGGCGCAGGTTCGTACCCACTCCTTACAACTCACGACCCCAACCTGATCTCGTACACCACCGGGCAACAGATCAGTGGAGTCACCTGTCACTGTCACCTCGTCCGATCTAGCAACCCCCACAACCTGATTGGAGCAACAGTGATTGGAGCAACCCCCTGCTTGGAGAACTTTTTTTGGGCTGGGGATTCAGGATGCAAACTGCGGAGCAGAGCACACTACACTCCTCTACTTCTGGAAAGACAGGGAACTTTTTGGCTTGAAAGAAAGTGTAGGGGCTGAGCCATGCCGGGCATTTACAGCCAGTGAAAAAAAGAACATGGGAAATCAAAACCACTTGTCATTGCCTCAACAAGGCACCGCAGTGGGTGACAAGACGTGCTTTGCAATGAAGTGGAAACATCATGCCCCCAGCCTAATAGGTGGCTTTCTCTCACATGGCCAGGCGAGGATGAAGAACCACGAAACAATTTTTGCGTCGCATGGTGACGGAGATTGCGTTTTTACCTCAGATCTTCTTGTGGGAGAGCTATATACTGTAAAATGTGTCTTAGATGGCGAGCCCAGCAACTTTACGCAGATAAACATTGGTGTCTTCTACATCAAATCGACGTGAGACTCCCAGATCAATCTGAGCATACAGGATTAATGTGCAGAGTGATGATGCTCAGGATCCGCACGACAATGTGGTTCTCTCAGTTTCTGGAGTGGTGACCCCCTTCTACAGAGATGAACAGTTAAAGTTGAGAGCTATATTGTGAATGAATGCCTTAGCTTGAGGAAAACAGATGCCCCAACCGTTTGAGTCCTGGGAGTCCCAGGTGCTATGAATATAGGGATTGTGTTCGATGAAGGTTTGCCCTAACGCAAAGTGAACCTGACGCCTCGTCTCCTTCGACTCTCCTCGCTTTTCAAAAGGGGGCTAAGTATGTAAAGGAGGTAAGCTACTAAGCTATCCGTTAGCTACTAAGCTCCGACGCAGGAAAGCTTGCGCTTCCTCAAGGAAGCTCCCCCTCGCCTGAGGGCGGGGGGGAGCTTCCTGGAAGCAGCGGTCGGACTATTCATGTGGTTCAACCGTTTCTTTTTGGGAAACTTGTTCTTGGAAGTTTGGGCTGCGACCTTTATTTGATTTTCACCTTTATTTTGCCTTACCATTCACTGTCTCATGTCATTTTGCCTGTGTTATGGTCCAAACGCTTGGTTCTAGTGGATCATCACTTTTAGTGACGATGACATAGTGCGAGCGTTTTTTCAAGGAAGCTTCCTTGAAGAAGCGTGAGCTATCCTGTGTCCTGTGTCCTGTGTTCTGCTCCTAGTAGCTTAAGTAAGCTACTAGCTACCTAGCTACCTCCGCGGCCTAACCCCCCCTGCGGGCTTTAAAAACAGTTGTGGGTGCGTCACCACTTCAGACTTCGCCTGCTTTGGTCCCACTCGTTTCATTTTTCACTCTCATGACTTTTTCTCATTCCACCATCTCAGTGCAAGGTGGTTTCTTCCCTTTGAGCTTGATTGCTGCTGTCATACAGGTTAGGACAGCAATGTACATGATTTTGCCCCATCTGCAAACGAGAACACGAGTTCACATCCACTGATGGCATCTTGAGCCGACGAACAGGCTTGTGCGCTTAGCAGCCGTTTTTGGAACAAGGATGGACATCATGAACACGGTGCTTTGACCAGTTTATATCCTAGTCTTGTTCAGTTCAAATTCTAGTCTATGCCCAAAAAGAGACAGGAACCTTGCAGATCCTTGAGCATAAACCAGGAAACACATGTGACGAAGGCAGATCAGCCACTGCACACATTACCAAATCAATTTGCAATGGGAAGGCGTTCGCCCCGCTCTCAGACTGCCAGATGGGCATATCACGTTTGCAACTTTGGATACTACCCAAGAGGTCGCATAAGACATCAGCTTTTTCATTACTTGTGTGACATTGCCTTTCAAACTTGCTTGGCTGATTTGCACACTCGATTGGACATTCTGATTCCTTTTCTACAGCTTGCACCCACAGGCATAGGGCACTGTTGGTTGTTTGTGCACTTGCAGCTGCCTGAGCGCCCAAAGTATCTTTTTAAGGTTCAGACACTTGCACCTGGATATGCGCCTTTCCTGTTTTGCTTAGGTTGCTTTTAGAAGAAGCTTTACAGGCATAGTTTACAAAACCAAGTTGATACTGTTGGATTGGCACGCTTTTCCAGCCATGTCGTTATATCGGTCTTTCAACGATTGAACACTGTAAATTCATGTGCAAGGCTTTGTGTTTCTAAAGACTGCAGAACTCGGAACATCCAGGCGTGAGTTGTCCTTCATACTTTCTGAGTAGACATTTTGGCTGTCTCAACATTTGCGTTTTGTTGTTGCGCCCAAGGCGGAGTCATCTCACGGCGAGATATGCGGAGTCTCCTCTGGACAGACCTGTAATTTCGGGATCCAAAGGCATATATATATGTATATGCGGTACCCCCCCACCAATACCTCTTTTAGTTTCTTTTTGGGATTTGTTGTGTTTTATGCACATTGTTTCTGGTTTGTTTTGGGGAGCAAATTTGAGGTGAAAGCGGGTGCCACACACACATATATATATATTTACTTATTTCTACTTATTTCTACTTACTGTTATTTATGGTGCACATACCCGTATGGGATGAAACAGTCCTTTCTAAGGTTCACAATGCCCCAATGGGGCATGGGGGAAAAAGAAAAATCATCGAAAAGTATCAGCAGACTTTTTGATTGTTCCAGATAGAGTACATGCAAACGAATGCATGTTCGCCGCACAGCCTTGGCTGGGCGGGTGTGGAGGGTAAAAAACCCTTCAAATCTAGATAGCTCTGCTCGATGGTAGTCGGGGGGCATGGACGATGTGGACTCTCTACAAGGCGCAACGGCAACTTTGTGGCTTACGCTTCCGAGCTCATCAGATGGGGCCGAAATCAATTTAGTCCGCCCGACCACTGACAGCCTCATGACAAAGGGCGAGGAAGGCCAGCTCACCGTGCATCCAAGTCGGCAACCGATCAAGAAGCAAGACCTATAGAACGCCATGAGTTACATCCAAGAGTGTCTTCGGCTGAATTCGTGGTGGTGCCCAAGGTGAGTGGACACAACAGGCACAAGAGCGCTTTTTGGCGAAGCCACGGGTGAACAATCACAGGCTCCAAGCCATTGAAGACAAACAGGCTCAAAGCCAGAAGCCTTTGGCCACCAAGGACCAATCATCGTCTAACTCCTCTTCTACCTTTTCCTCGTCTGACTCTTCCTGTTCTTCGGATGCAAGAGCAGCGCGTACCGAAGGAGCCCGGGAAGGAGCGCTCCCAGCAGCCCACGGACAAGGACTTGGCGAACCGCTTGAGTGACACCCAGGCAGCTGTGCAGGCAAAGACGAAGGACTTTGAAAGCATCTTCTCCGCTCTCCACGCGTGCCAAGCGGATCTACAAACGGCAAACAAAGCCATCAAAATCAAGGATGCCCAGATTGCCCACCTGAAGCAGGAGATGGAGAAACTTCGCGCCGAGGAGAAAGATGAGGGCTCGGATGAGGAGGATGATAATGAGATGATGATTTCGGACTGATAGAATGCGATGTGCATCCAAGTCTGGCATTGTTTTCGAATGTGCGCGCAAAAAGGTTAAGGTGTATGCTGCCTCTGCTTTGCACGGGCCATGCAAACTCTAAAACGTCAGTTTGAATACAAGCAGTGCGTGTATATAGTGTATTGTTCATATCACAATAGAGATGTCATTGAAACATTGAGCAACTTGCGATTTTTTTGGGCAAAAAACATGCGCCTGCGTGATGCGTCCACATCATAAGCCTGGTCTGCGTGAGCGCGGTCTTTTACAGCGTGCGCCCATCTGTTCTGCTAATATCTGTTCTCTATCTTCATTGCTGCTGTTGGTCGGGGACAGGAAGGACTGTGCAAGACAGTCAGCCTACTTTTTGATGTCCGCCTGTCCCTGCCAGAATTCCCTTTGAAGCAATTAGGTGACTGCGTGAAAGAGAGTGCCCTAGAGAAATTGACACGCAGCGTCAGGCCTCCAAGTCCGTTACCCACTGAGTGCCGCATCAGCTTGTCGCCTACAACGACCAGGATGGAACAGTCCATGTCGATGTCCTCAAGGTTCTGCGCATTGAGAACCGCGTCGCAAAGCAGGAAGCTGTGAACCTTTGCACGGGACCCCTTATGCGCTTACCCTCCGACCAGGTCCACTGCCTGGCTTCCATGTGGCTTGGTTTTTTCTCAAGCACAACAAGCAGGGCAAGGGCATTCGTCGCTCACAGTCTTCTCAGTGGGCCCCTGCTGACGAAGAGCTGTGGGCGGAAATCTAACATATCAGTGAAAATGCATCAGAAGTGTGACGCTGAGAATCGCAATACTATTGGAACCTTTCCAACATCAAAGAAAATGCTGGCGCCCCAATCTCCGGCTGGCCTGAAGCCAAGGTAAGAGTCACGGTGCAAAACAAGGCCAAAGGGATGGCAGGTGCGCAATTGGAGACAGAGTTTCCTCTGAACACCCTCTTGAGATCCAGCAAGTTGGCGCAAACCACTTCAACATAGAACGTTTTTAATATGAAAACAAAAATAACTAAACCTATGAAATCAGGAAATTAACTTGGCCAAATTGGCCCTGTGAACCAACCATAAACTTTGAGGGTGGGTGTGCTTGGGAGAGCACACACTAGCTCAAAACCCTTAGAAACACTGTAAATACCGTGCAAAATTTCAAAAACTGCTCTGAGAACTAGGCGAAACGCAATTTTTTGGATCTGTTTGTGCCCAGTCTCCATGTCCAATGTCAATGACAACAAAAAACAGCTCTTCGTCTGCCCACTATCAATGTGCAACACCAATGATAAATATTATCAGGTAAATCTCTCTCTGCCCACAATGAATGTAGCATCATGAGCGAATTAATATATAATACTATACATCTCTAGATTCAATAGCTTTCCTCGATCTCTGGGAAAGTAGATTTCCTAGATTTGTGTATTTTCATTGAAGGAGCGCTTTTGAAAGAAACACTTACATACATACTTATAGCTTTTTTTCAATTACCATGACAAAGTTCCAGAGATCCAGAGGAAAGCTTTTGAAATGAAAGCTTTATATTTTTTTCACAGAAGTGATCAGATCTAGAGGGAACCTTTTGAATTAGAAGCTTGTACATAAAGCAGTTTTAATATAGCAATGTTTATGCCCTTGGAATACTTTAAACAAATACTATCTACTCAAAAACATAGTTTTTGTCTTATTCCCAGCACTCCTAGGGCAAGAAAACACTGTAAAATATAGGGTTTTGTAGCATGTGTTTTCTTAAACTAACTAAACTAGAATTAAACTAGAATTAGGTAAATTTAAATTAGAAGATTTCAATCAAGATCCTTTTAACATTGATTGTGGAAATTGCTATTTATTAGATATTAGATTGCAAAAAACCCTTTCCAAGTTCTCTTTAAAACTCATTGTGGAAACTAATTCTTACAATTAGATTTAGTTGATTTCCTTTTCAACGTTAGTGGTGGCTTTGATTTAATACCAGATTGTGTTTAAAACCGATTTAGGATTAATTGTGGAAATTGTGATGCTTAACTAGATTTGATTTGATTTTGTATCTGTGTGCCCCCCGCTACAAGGCAACATCAAATAAAAGGACTTTAGCTAACATCTAATTATTAGAATTAATTTCCACCATTAACTGTTCA